TCACCTCAGCCTAGAAAATCAAAGCATCCAGGCTGAACAACACTCCGACACAAGAGGGATTGTTACAGTCACGCTTGGCTGAACCTTTAGCCCGCGTCTTGCTCACAATCGGATTGGCATGCAGCAAATATGAGTCAAATATGTTTGGCACGGAAATTGAATAGTTAGTGTTGTAAGCTCAGAAAGAAAAATATACTTGTTCTTGATCGGGCAAGATGAAACAGCTGGTTGAACCAGCTTCACCACCCAGCATGTGGCCACATGGCCTAGGTCAAATTCTCACTACAGATTTTGGTGATCTCGCAACATCTAAGCACGTGCAAAAAACAAAGCTGAAACACGCTATTTAATCAGTTCCATCAAGTTATCGTTTTGTAGCCTCCTCACAGAAGTCTGGAGAACCGAATCTACGACTTTTCCAACCCTACTTGAGGCGCCGTCAAACTTTATCTCAGCCTTGCTTAAGACTATATAAGCATCGCTCCCTTTTCCATGTCATGCTAGGTTGGCATATGATCTTTGCATTCAAAGTTGAAATCGCAGCTTGAATGCCGCTCTGTACCTGAAGGGCCAGCCAAAAAGGGCTGGGATTCCAATGGAGCTGTGGTCTGATGTCCCTACAGACTATCCACCAGATGAACCAGCACAGTGGGTGGACGACTTGGCCGACAAGGTTGAGATTCAGCGTCTTTGCAAATATGTAGGTGCTTGTGGCAGCAAAAGATTTCTCAGGTGAAGTAACTGGAAGTTTGACAACAAAGTTTGTCCGGGATTGGCGTTTGAAGGACTTTGGAGAAGGTTCGAATGTCTGCAAAAGATGGATGAGGAGATCACGTTTTGTGGCGAGGGAATTTGCCAACACCCGTCGCCTAGTCCTGCTACAGGAGCCCACACATCGAACATCTTACCATTGAAATTTTTGTGGATGAAAAACATGGCCGCTGGAGTGAAAGCCGATGGTGATTATTCAGTGGTTATGGGTGCTTTGGATGTTCGAGATCTTAGTTGCTCGGGCACTCGCGTTGCGAGCACTCGGCACTCACGTGCTGCAACTTACGTGCTGCAACTTATGCCAATGCATTTTTCATGGACAGAAATACGTCATTGGGTTTTTTTGAGTGAGAGGCATGTCGATGTTTTTTTTGGTGAATCAAAAATGCATTGGCATATTAGCTAAGATCAAGTAAGCCCTTTAAGGACTTTGGATAAAGCAAAAACCTTAGATATGTGGCAGCAACAAGTATGTTTGTAGGAAAGCTGAGCTTCCACTCGGGGAAAGGTCTTAGGATGGAAATTGATTCTGCAGGCTCTTTAGAGTCTCAAGCATGGTGGGAGAGGAGGCCTTGTCTGAGGACAAGGCACAAGCCCTCTTAGGCCCCCAGAGAAATGCATTTACTTGAGTGTGAAAAAAGCATCCGGCAACATGTATACTCTTGGGCTCCCCCAAAGCTTAGAACCTTAGCTGATGCTTTTTTAAGCTTCAAGTAAATGCATCCATATCTGTCGACCATACCAAAATCCCTTGTGTTGCGACAAATGCATTTACTTGACCGTGAAAAAAACATCCGGCAACATATATATTTTTGGGCTCCCCCAAAGCCTGGAACCTTAGCGGATGTTTTTTTTATCTGCAAGTAAATGCACCCATATGTGTTGATCATACCAAAAGCCCTTGCGTTGCGAAACAGCGTGTTGCAACGGTACGTTGCGGGTGCTGCGTGCTGGAGCTACTAAGTTCGAGATACGTTTTTGCAGGTTGAACAGGATGAAAAGGTTTTGGTCCATTTGCAGAATGAGCCCTTCATTATCACGCGTAATCCTGGGCAACGTTTGGGGGCGAAACAGTGGTATTTGCACTTGAGAGATTTTTTGGAGAAAACCCTGGGATTTGAATTTTGTCCGGAACAACCATGCTTGCTCGTACAAGAGATGCAGCTATCATGATACATGTGGATGATATTTTGTACGTTGGAACAAAGCAATTTTGGAATGGTTCGTTCTTAAAGGAAATGAAATCCAAGTTCACGGTAAGTCATGAACAACTTGAAGGTCCAGGCAGTAGCATCAAGTTTCTCAGGAGAAAGATGGTTGAAACAACAGATGGGTTGGTCCTCATGCCAGGAACTACAGTCGAGCGAGTTGTCAATGCGTTCGAGAGTGCATTTGGCTCAGCACCTTTGCAGAAGGTTCCAAGTGATTCTGGTATTCAACTCACAGACAGTTCGCCCCGACTGAATGACAGGGATTCAAGCATGTTTCGTTCAATCATTGGCCTATGTGTATACATTGGACGTGAGAGACCTGACCTCATGTATACGATAAAGGAGCTTGCTTCTCACATGTCATGTCCAACGGTTGCAGCATTGGGACGTTTGCGTAAGATGATTGGATTCATGAAGCAGGTTGGAGATATTGGAGTGAAACTTTGTTATCCAGAACCAGGAGTTGGCAAAGTCAACACAGCAGCTGAGTGTGAATGGATTTTGGAGAGTTTCAGCGATGCCGACTGGAATGCAAACAAGACCACGAGGCACTCTACGTCTTGTGGGGTCCATTTCATTAACAACTGTTTCATGTATGCCAGCAGCCGTAATCAGAAAGTTGTGTCCCTCAGCAGTTGCGAAAGTGAACTTCATAGCTTGGTAAGTTGTGCATGTGATGGTATTTATATCAGGGCTTGTGCAATGTTCGTGTTGAATGGAGCTGTAGAACATTTTCAATACACTGATTCAAGTTCGGCACGTCAGCTTGCGTGTCGACAAGGATGTGGCAGAGTGAGGCACGTCTCTGGGAAGTTGCTTTGGGTACAGGAGAAAACAGCAGACAAATCCTTTTCACTTCACCCTGTGGCCACACTTCACAATGTGGCAGATATCGGAACCAAGACCCTATCACGACAAAGACTCTTTTACCTCTTGCATTCATGTGGATTGGTGTATGGAGTTGATTTTTCAGATGTTGGTGAGAATGAATTTTCACTGGTGAATGAGAGGTTGGTCAATGCGCAGCAGTTGAAGAAGATCTCCAAGGCGATCCTACGTATGGGTCTAGCAATGGGAATCACTGAGGGCCTTAGTCAGGTGGTGCAATGGCTCAGCAGTGCAACAACGATGAGATCCAGGTCAACAAATTTCCATGGATGTTTGCATGCGTGGTTTTCTTCATTTGCATAGTGGCTGTTACAGCTTTCTGGCGGAGATTCCAAAGGTTTTTGGAGGATTGGGATGATCGAATGAAAAGACTGGAAAGCGATGTGGATTCAGCCCAAGTTCAATTGGGAGACCATTATGAGTATGCTGCACATCTTGCAGATCGTATCGACAGCTTGGATGTGAGATGTGAAAGTATCGATGAAGCTTTGAATGCGCAGGCAGCTCAGGTTTCAGCTCTTGAGGAGGAGATGATAGACTCCTCTCACTCTACAGAGGAAGGACTGGACTGCATAAGGTTTGGGCTCATGGAACTGGGAGGATTTGTGAGGCACACTTTTCTCTCTCGTGAGCAACGAACCCACATGTTCCTGCAGGAACGAGCAAACCTTGTGCTTTGGAATTTACGGAACCAAGCAGATACAACAGATGTGGCAACGCAGAACCATGGTGAAGGAGGAGAAGAAGAACTGAGAACAAATGATCCAGAAGTTGAACCAGAAGCTCACAGTTCCCTCGGACGTATTTCACCCCGGCTGGAACATGTGAGACGTGATTTGAACATAGCGCTTCAGGCAGAACGATGGACAGAAAGCAATCAACTACAAGGTGCAGTGAACATTCTTTTGGACGCTACAGGTGGTCCAAATCCAGAAGGATTATCAATGAGAGTTTTGAGAGATGTGAGGAATATCTTTCAGCGCTTGTTTCGCATTCACAGAAACCGAGGGCTGGAGGAACGCATGGAACGTTTTCGGGTCTATGTCGAAGACATTAACTCTTTGATGCAGTGATGGATGATGGAAAACGGGACAGAAATGCTTCTTCAGCAAAACAATGCTGAACATGCGTTGGAGGTTGAAAATTGGAATTCGAGTGACGCACTCAAATCCCAAAGGAGGAGCGCAAAGAATTTCAGAGCCTACTCATGTCCCATATCTACAAGGATGACACAGCACAAATCGAGATGAGTTAGTTGTCATGTGTCACATTTGAGCATCATGAAAAGCATGATTGACTCGATATTCGTGAGGCCCTTTTGGCTGGAAAACAGTTGCGTGATTTTCGCTCATTGCTTCGCACAGGGAAATATGCAAAAATCATCATTTGCAAAAAGGAAACGGTACCATGTGAGTTTTTTTTTTAAATCAATGATTTCAGCAAGGAGAGAAGGATTGATGAAGTTCATATACAAAAATTGCAATGTTTCAAAAAATTAATCAGTGAATCTTCGACCAACAACTTGCTTGACGCATTGGCCATGTTGTGGACAAGTCGTAGGGTGTGCATGTCGCAGTGCAAATTTATTATTCGTTTGACGTGACGGAACGTGTTTTTCTTCAAATCAATTCATGAAATTCATCTGGTTCGAAACAAATGACTGGGCAACAAAGTTTCCTCGACATTTTCCTGGTTGCTCGATGTTTCTAACCTATACCACGAGATGGGATAATTTTTAATGGAAACCAGAACCAGTGTCCAGGAGGGCTCAGTTGTGCGAATTTTTGGATGGTAAAAAATAAACAAAAAACAAAATGTATAACCCCATGAAACACAGTGCTTACACATATACGGGTTCTTTATGGCTATATATACATGAAATTCTCTGATTTGCCACGTGTTTGTTAGTGTCCAAACAAACCATGTTTTCTTGTTGTGTTTTGTTAGATGTGTCGTTGAAACTCCTCCCGATTTCCACTAGATTGGTTGTGCATCCCATTCAGCACCTGGTTTATCCCACCTATTTAGAAACAGTATACATCCCATTTTTTTGGGTATATATATATATTATGTATATTTGTTTCAGGGTTATTTCTTTTGGTTACTGTATTACCCACATACAATGCCTTGATGCTTCGGCAACTTTTGATCCGCGATGGATTGGGATGGCAGTTGGTCTCTTGGCCCCTGCCCCCCACGCGGCTGCTGCTATTCAGCCCTTCCTTCGCAGTGCTCAGTGGCTATGAAGACAAGTCTTGGATGATCCCTGAAAATTGGGATGGTTGGTTGATAAACTGATTGGAAATAACGTTTCTGATTGCCCTAACCCGACTATCAACCACCTATTCAATTTACCAATTCCAGTTGGATCATCCGAGGCACAGCGTTGCCACATGGACTTCCAAATGGGATCCAAAAGGAATTCCCTTTGTCGGTCAAGGACCAGCAAGAAACAGAGGCCTGGCAGTTGCTGTCTCATCAGCGCTTGGAGGAAGAGTTGCAAGTTGAAGTGGATGGATATGTGAGTTTCAAGAACAAAATTTTCATTGCATTTTTCTATTTTTTTTTTGTACTTTTGATTGCCAGATATTTGAGCTGGGAGTTTCTTAAATTTGATTCCCAAAATTTTGATCGCCATTGAGCAACATCCTAAATGAACAATTTTCAACCAGGTTCAAACTAAAAAGGTGGGATCAGGTTGAATGGTACCATCTGGTTATTTAACATAGCCATGGAACATCACCATGTTTTAGAACGGCAAACCATCTATTTCTATGGGCCAGGGCTTCCATGGCTATGTTAGTCATAACCAGAGGATAATGTTCTTCATCCCCAATTTATGTTACATGGTTCTGAAATGGGTCATCCCCAATGGTAATGTACTTCATCCTCAATGGTAATGTTCTTCAGGTTGAATGGTAATGTTCTTATGTCCATTTCAGTAGAGAACATGTTCAAATCCTACCAGTCCCGGATTTCTACCGCCACCAGGTTTCAGTGTGGACCGACCTCGAGGTCAAGCACCTCTGGTGCTGCGCGAACTGCCCGAAACCGTGGGGAGCAAGGTGTGGCGAGGCGCCTGGTTGTTGTGGAAATCGCTGGAAGTTTATGGTATCTGGAAGAATTTTAGCTATACCGTATACCCTCCGGTACTCAAAGATTGCAATTCTAAGATTATTTTTACATTAAAACATCCATTTATGAGGGATTTCCCATTTCCACGTTCGATTACCGGAGGGTACCCATCTGCTTTTTTTTCTGCGTGGCAGATAGAGATGGGGTATTTCACGCGCTTGACATTTGATCTTTTTGAAGTCACTAAGATGGGTTTAGTCAGCACACAATCCCTCATAAAAAGTTGCATTAAACTTTTGGCAAGGGATCTTCTACCAAGCGATCAATCAATGATTGTCAACAAGCTCAAACTCACCCATGATCGAAAATTGATTATTGGACATTCCCAGCAATCAAATAAAACTGATCATTTGACCCCACGAACTCAAATTGATCATTAAACCTCATTAACCTACACTTTATCAGTAAAACACCACTAAAGTACAATGGATCATTCATGAAAATCCCTTCATAAAATCAATTTCAGTTCTTATCAACCTTTTCTTCCTACATTCTTATTATTCTTCCCATCATTCAACATGTTGGTTTTCATCCCAGGTTTACAGGGAGCCTCCAACATCCTGGAGTTGGGCTCCGGTGTCGGCCTGGTGGGTCTCCTGTTGGCCGCGGACCGCGGCGTCCACGTGACGCTCTCGGAGACCCGCAGCGCCTACGCCGGCGCCGCAGTGACCTTCGAGAACCTCCGGCAGAACGTGGAGACCAACCGGTGGAACGTGGCGCAGAGTGGTGGAGACGTGGAGGTCTTGGAACTGGATTGGACTCAAGGTTTGGATGAGAAACATGACTTTGATTTGGTGATTGGCAGTGATATTTTATATGAACCCCATCTGTTTGAGGATTTGTTGGATGTGTTGCAAGCTGCAGCTGACCGTGCCATTCTGGTGCAAAACCTGGCGCGCAAAGGGACCCAGTACTTCCTGCAGCTCTGCGAGCAACGCTGCGTGGCTGTCAGGGCAGTAGATGTGTCGCACCTGGATGAGGAGATGAAGCTCCTAGATGCTAAAGATGGCGTTTATCAGTGCTGGTTTCTGGACTTCACCGCTAATGGCTGTTGATAGCTTCACTTATGCTGGAGATGCTGATGGCATGATGGAGATGCTATGCAAAGTGGTTAACTTTGCTTCAGTTTGAACAGGACCCTGAGCCGTTGGGCAAGATGTTGAGAAGCCGGTCTGGCACATGAAGCAGATTGTCAGAGTTTCCAACATGACCTGACGGACACAACAATTTAGTGGCCATGCGAAGAAGAAAAAGAAGAGCGGGTGGAGGCTGTCGGTATGTTCAGGGGTGGATCATTGTGGTATTAACTTAGTATCCAGTATGGTTGATCATCATTTTCCCCATGTTTAAAGTGTCTTGTTTCACCCCATTTTCCAGGGTTTGTCCTACTGTGCCATGACCTGTGGAATTTAAACACAACCTGAAGCGACGGTTAGTGCTGTCGCGATTTCCTTGGTGATAACGATGAGAAGAGCGGAAACCTGATACCCCTCTGGAAAGTCGCTTCGACCTTGGAGAGCTCCAGAATAGGCTTGAAATGCTCTGACAATACGCATGATGGAAAGGATTGAGGTCATGAAATCATCCGGAAAAGGGCTTATTTTGGAGGTTTTGTGCATTGTTTCTCCCAGCCATTGCGGGCGGATGCCGTTGGTGTTTTGAGGATGTCCATGGACCCGATGGACCCCATCGACAGGGATGCTTTGGATCTCCGTGTTTTGCCTCCCTGGAAATTTTGGACCAACCGCCGTGGACAGCGACTTCATCTGAGGTTTGTGGTGCCCTCTGAACAGACGACGACAGCGATTCTGTGGTTGCATGGCTATGGATGTCATGCGAACCTGGAACGAATGTGGAAGAAAGTGTGCCACATCTCAGAATCATTGAACTCACTGGTGATTGCCTGCGATTTGGAAGGACATGGATATTCAGATGGGCCGCAAAGCATTGAAAATTGTGAGAATTTGGTGCAAGATGTTGTTGATCTCTGCACGGATCTCACCTCAACATCAGCAGGTTCATTTTCAACAGATTTGGGCAGCTTGAAGCGAACTTTGGTTCATCAAAAACTCTTCCTGGGCGGAGAATCCTTTGGTGGGGCCATTGCATTGCAGGCCTCCCTGCAGTGGCAGAGCATTCCTCAACTGAAGGGTTTCTTGGTGGTGATTGCTGTGGATTAACATCACCCTGTTGGTGGTTTCACCTTCACAGGCGCTGTTTTGGCTGAATATCCGGAATCTTTGTGGTTGGGAACACCCCTTCTTGGTTAAATCACAATTTTTATTGGTGACATTTCCAGCTTTGTTGACTACACATCCCTGTTTTTGTTTACCGTAGTTTTTGTGTTCGTTAGTGGAAGATCTCGAGTTTTGTGTGCTTCAACCTCCACTTTGGGTAGATTTTTTTCTATTTTTTCCCGTCTGAAACCAGCCAGGGGTGAATATTGTCGTTCCTGCCACCATTTGCTGCTTTGAATAATCAAGGACCATATTATTAACCCCATAACCATATAACAATTGTAGTTTGAATTGCCATTTTGAATAAGGGCACCCATAACCATCATAACCCGCAGCCAGTTCCCAGCCCGGCCAAAGATTGGATCAACATCGACTTCTTTGTTCAGAAATCATCAATTCTGCCAATTCTGTCATTCAAAAACCACCACTTCTCTCCAACCCACCCCTATTTTTTATTTGAACATGGGAATATCTATTGAATCACCGATGTCTACTCTTTTTTCTTTTTCTTAAATTTACTATATTTAGTTTATTGGTTGAAAGCCCCAGACCGCCCACTCAGCTATGCCTCCAACCTCTTTTAAATTGGAACATCAATATTAAGTCAAAGATGTTCATTCTTATTGTCAAGCATATTTTTGTGGATTGCAAATGAGGATAAATATATGACATATATAGATGATAAATCAATCACCCACATGGTTATCCCTAAGATCCCCATCTCCGATGTACAATCCCATATTATATGGCAGGATATATCCTCTATTATCATGTAATGGGATTAATGGGGATAAATCCTCTATTCTCATTATTATCATGTAAGAATATATCCTCTATATCCTCTATAATATATCCTCTATTATCAAAATAGATATGATTTTGTAAAAACTCCTGCAGTAAAACCATGTATCGTACATATCATCGTACTACTCTGTAGCGTTGGTTCAAAACAGTGCCAAGTGCTTAGCGGCTTGTAGGTCACCCCATTGGTAATATACCACATTGTTGGCTGACCTTGTAAAATACAGGTTATCAGCCGTAGTCTCACTACTTTGCTATGGGGACCCCAATTGACCATCCTCTCGCCGTTCCAGGGTCAGGTCCATCGGCTGTCGCTGTGCCCAATGTGGCCGGGGGCAACCCCGAGCCGATGGATGACGAGACAATGTTCCAACCCGTTGTAGCGTACTTTACCTTCATACAAAACAACCTGTCCCAAATCACTAGTGGGAATACCCTGCAAGTCATGAGGGAAGCTGAACAGAAGCACCTTCAGATAATGCATGGAGTAGTTGACTCAATTCGAAACGAATGGTCAAGTAGACTCGTAATGCAAGAGCAGGAGTATGAGCAAAGGCTGCAGGAGGTTGAAGGTAAGGCCATTAGTGCCGTCAACGAGGAGAGGAAACGAGGCGATGAGTTGGAGGTCAGGTTGAATCAGGCTCAGGCATCGCATGACAAAAGAATAGAGGATGTTAAGGCAGAGGCAAACACAAAGCATGATCAGAAAATTGCAGAGGAAAGGCAACGTATCACTAGTGAGTTCGAAGCTTCCTATGCACAGACAGTTGAACATGCAAAGAATGCCATAGCTGCCACAAAGAAGCAATATGAAGATCAGGCTGCAATTGATCAGGCCAGGCTCATCAGTTTGAGGACCGAGTTCGAGAACTACAAGAAGGAGATGGCTGACAAGATCAACGAGGCAGCGGCTCAGAACCTTAGCCTTCAGGACCAAATCGATGACCTTCAGGAGCAGTTAAAGCATGTTGCCAAAGCGCAGCATGCCTCCGTTCCGAAAGCATCCGCCCAGAACGCCGAGCCGGCCGCTACCACTAGCGTGCCCCACTTCAATATTGCCACTCCCAAAGCATCCGATGCACAAGCTGCCAAAGGCAGTGATGAGCCGATTCATGAGTTGAAAACGCCTGCAGTGTTGGCACAAGAAGCAAAGGCCAAGTTGGATGAGCTGCTCAAAGGTGGCAGTCCCAAGCAAAAGCCGGCTGTCGGCAACGACCAGCCCCAATTGCCAACGCAGTCAGGGTTTTTCACTCCCACTGAAGCTATCAAAACTCCCCCAAATGACTCCCCCAAGAGCGTAACCAAGCAACAGCAAGTGATGGGTCCCTCAGATCTTATTGAATTGGTGAAAGCCTTAACCCAAAGGGAAGAAAAGGATAAGCCAAAAACTAAGGAGGCCGAAATCATCAAGCTGAACAACATGCCCGCTCCGGAGTCGTATAGGACTTGGAAGAATCATGTCAGGGATGAAGTGAAAAGCTGTTCAGATCGCCCGGATGAGGCGTGGCTCTGGCTCAACGAGGTGTATGATCAAGAGTGCACCAGAGAGCAGTTGGAGAAGAAACTCCAAGATCCTGGAAAGTTCCTCACGCTGGATACAAAGTTATCAGCAGCGCTCACACGCTCAGCCGGAGGGGACCTCGCAACTAGGATCCTGAATTTCAAAGAGCAGCAATCCCGAAAAGGCATCCAGGTCAGGGGAAGGTATGTTCTGCTCATGTTTGAGGACTACTTCAAGACATCAGAGGAAGCAGGTAGCCTTTACAGAGTAGAAGATCTTTTGGGTGTTGTCAAAGTAGGCGATGCTGTCCAGGATCTCCGAAGATTTATCAACAAATGGGATGCTACCCTAGCTGGCATGGCTGTCACCCCCGATGATGCTGTGTTAAGGGACATCTTGTTGAGGCAGATCCGACCAAGTCAGTTGCTGAAATATGACATCGAGATGTTTGACCGTGCACATGAGAAATCCCATGAAAAGTCTTATAGTTTTCTTCACCAATCCATGAAGAACTTGATCGATCGTGAACGATTGAGGGAGAACAGGAACCGCATCGCGGAGAAGAACAAGGCTGGGATCAAGGACACAAAGGCCGCACCTGCCAAAGGCGATGGTCGCGGTGGCCGAAAGGGCTCTCCAAGTCGTGGTAGATCGCAGGAACGAGGTGGCAAAGGTGACAAAATTTGCTATAAGTTCCAAAAGGGTACCTGTGATAAGGGGAAGAAGTGTCCATTCAAGCATGTCAAAGATGACAAATCTCGAACTCAATCACCCAGAAGAACCAAAACACGTTCACCATCAAGGGGCAATAAAGATGATAAGGGGAAGAAGATGTCCAAGGAAGAGATGGCCAAAACCCCATGTATCTATCATGCCCAGGGAAAATGCAGACGTGGTGACAAATGTTTTTATAAGCATGATGACAAAGCTGCTGCCGCCACCAAAGACACCAAAAGGGCCAATTCACCCGCTCCCAAAAAGAAGAGCAAGGATTCCACAGCCGCTCCATGCCTGATTCAGAAGTTTGCTTGCATCGTCCGAAAACAGCCGAAGGCAACTTCGTGCTCCGATGAGTCAAGTGTCAGCATGAAGCGTCTTAGATTCCGAAAGGCCCCACACGTGATCGAGGTGAAGGCAGTCGGTCGTCAAGTCCCAGTCAAGCACCGTCCGAGAGAGTTCACTAAGGTGTACAAGACAGCTGAAGATGTTCCGGTTTCATCAAAGGTTGAACAACATGAGGCTCAGGTTCGTGCAAGACAGCTTCAAGAAACTGTGAAACTTCATGATTCAGATGTTGCACCTAGTTGTGGGTTTTGTTGTTGGAATGAGGACACACGTGACATCACATGCAAAGAGTGCAGGTTCATCAGCGGTCCCAAAGCTCTTAGAGACATTGGTCGTTTCCCGTCAATTGCCACAGCTGCGCCAAAGGCCGGCGTTAGTTGGCTTGTCGACTCAGGTAGTGAATCCGATCTTGTGTCCAAGGGTATGTTGAGGGACGTTAGCGCCAAGAACTGCCGTGCAGCCGAGCATCCGATTTCCTTAGTCACAGCCAATGGTTCGACCGAGGCCAATGAGGTTGCTGATGTCAAGATGTCCGCATTGCCAGATCCTGTGCATCCGTATGTACTTGATCATACCCCAGCTGTGCTCTCCGTAGGAACAAGATGTGTAGATCAGGGTTACAGTTTCGTATGGCCTGCCAATGGCAAACCAATCCTAGTCCGTCCAGATGACAAGGTCGTCCAGCTCAAGATCGAAGGTCATGTCCCAATCTTGGATGATAGTTGCAAGGTTTATCCCAAAGATCAATTTCAAAAGGATAAGCACCTCAGAAAGTTGTTTGCAATGCCGACCTCACGGTCGAGCTCGAAAGCCAAGCGGGACGAAGCCCAAGATGAAGAGCAATTGGACGAGCTGGTGGAGGATGACGCTCAGCAGGAGTACATCCGAAGCCGCAAGACTGAGGATTTGCTGGCTGAAGCTGCAAGTACCCAACATCAGTACACTCATTTCCCCAAGAACCCCTTTTGCAGAACCTGCCAACGAGCAAGGATGATGGCACCTCAGGCACGAAAGAAAGGTGGTCAGAAGAGAATCGAAACCGAAGTGTTTGGTGACCACATCATTGGGGATCATGTCATCATCAAGAAAAATGTAGAAGAGGGTTTCAGGGGGGAGCAAGTTGCATTGGTGTTGAAAGATCTGCACACCCAATATCGGTATGTCTACCCTAGCCAGTCCAAGGACTCACAAAGCTGTGTTGATGGTTTGAATCACTTCATTGGATCAAAGGATGATGTTCAAGTTGTGTACACTGACAATTCCCCAGAATTGATCAGGGCCATCAAGGATTTGGGTTACAGACACCAAACTTCCATTGAATATGTAGATTCATCAAAGTCTTTTGCTGAGCGCGAAGTTCGTCAGATGTTGGAAGGTGCCCGGAGCAACTTGTTGCAATCAGGACTTCCTTTGAAGATGTGGCCATTGGCCATGCAGCATCATGCGACCGCGATCAATGCAAGCCCCCAGCTTGACGGCAGTGAATCCCCGTGGCAACTCAGGTTTGGTGAAGAGTTCCCTGCTATGCACATTCCATTTGGTGCCAA